GTGGGACGACGACAAACTCTTGTTGAATTTGATCCATATTTAAATAATCTTTTGCTCTTCAACGAGTGCTTTTTTTCGTTAAAAATATATTGTGATGTAAAAAAACGCGAGAGAAAAGATAAACATAACCTGACGTATACGACACAAGTTTAAAAGAGAAAGTTCGAACGTTTTTCTGTCTGTTTATACATGCAAGTTTTAAGGCCACATGTTATATTGCTTCTTGCTTTCTTTTTTTCCTCCCTCTCTGCAGATTATCGCATAAAATATTAAGGGGATCAAAATAAGTTTTGCCGCTCCAATTCTCTCTTATTGAGACTCATGAATGATAAATTTTCCATCAGACTTTTCTGTCCGATCGCATTAAAGTTAATTCCGATACCGAGACTATTTTATTTAAAAGTCACGCTAAAAACTTTGCGCGTTGTAATTACTATATTGAACGAAGCGTTCAGTTTTCTTCGACGCGCGGGAATTTGCGAGTTTTTTCTTCAACATTCATTTAACGCAAATGCGCATAGATTAATCGGCGGATAAAGTGTGTAAGATTCGCCGTCTCGTCTCGGATACTCATCTTCGGGCCTTAATCGAACGGAAGCTTTATTTTCGCCTCTCTTCGTGCGCGGCGCGCGATGTCCATTTTCTATAAATTACTTTTGGAGTTTCGTAACAGAATGGTCCGCTCCCTCCTCCATTTTACTTAAAATCTAGTCGCATAGCTTTCTGAACAATTACCCGCGAGAAGGTCGGCGCGAGGGTAAAACGTCGAAGGGTAGGTCGCATAAATGTTCCCTTCTTCGAGCGAGTACTTTTACAGAATGTAGCTAGAAATTGAGTAGAAAATTCAATTCTTAAAAGCAAAGTGGAAAGTTTGAGTAAACGCGCATATGCAAGATTGACCTGAAAAATATAATTCTAATTACATTAGTTTTCTAATTACATTTAGTTGCGTAAAATCTTCTTCTTAATGTTCTGTTATTCTTTGTAAAAATAACTTGGACTCGTGTAAAGTGATCGATCGTTAACTCGTTTAAAATAATGTGAGACGCGCGTTAGATGCCGCAACACACACACGCGCGCGCGAGAAATTACGACGGCGTGTGCGTTGTCGTCGCAACTTCGCGACGACGACGGGAAGGAGAAACTTAGCGGTCTAATTATCCTAATGAGATACGTTCCGACGAAACTCGAGAGTTTACTTGGTCGTCTTGTTTCCACGCGAACGTTCCGAAAATCATCACTGGCGATGTATGCGCGCGCGCACGCAAGAACTCAACGGAATACGCGCGACCGGGTAAGAGATAGTCGGTTTCGACATGATGCGGGCAAGTTCACCTGCAACGGTAAAACGGTGCGCCGGCGCGCGTGTTTTTAGTGTCTAAGCGCCGTCGGTTATAAATACGGACCTAAGAGCAACGACATGCACTCACGGCGTATGAAATATTCCAGTGGCCCGGCTACGTAATATTCGCAAATGCACAGCATATTCCTTTGTATCTTTGTCTACAGGTGACACGGCTAAAGTGCACTTTTCTCCAAGCGGCGGCGAATGAAAAATGAGAGGGCAAGAGAGAAAGAGGGGGAAAAAGAGAGAGAGAGAGAGAGGGAGGGAGGGGGGGAGAGAGAACAGTAGCAGTCGGTCGGCAGTTTCGAGGGGGGTAAGAAACATCCAAGATACAACTTCGCAGGAAGACAGGAAAGAATTAATGAGACGGGACCGAATGACTGACTACCACCTTACGAGAGGCCGGGAGAAGGGAGAAAGATGGACGGAGGGAAAAGAAAAGTAAAAAGGAAAAGGAGAGAATTGGATCGTGGAGAGATGCAAAAGTTTTCCTCAAGCTGCTCGAGTGCGTCTCTCCGCTCTCTGGTCGGAAGTCACGCGAATCGCCGCTCGCGAAGGTAGCGTGTCCTCCTTTCCTCCCCCGAGCAGCTGAGCAGCTTCTTCTTTACGTCGACCGAGCCAACTTCGTAATCTGAATTTTCCGCGGAGACGTCAAAATAAAGAATAGCTCAGGAGCGACGAAAGTAACGAGTGAGTTCTCCGCTCGAATATTACGCGCGGTGAACGTTTAATTAAGAATCAAAAATTAATCCCTCTCGCTCAGAAACAACAATTTGTTATTTTTAAACCTTAGTTTTAAACCTGTCGTATATATTACATGTTGTATTATTACAAAAAGAGTAGAAATTTCCTGTTGCGTGTCGAACACTCGTCGATACGGGAGGAGGTGTACATAATATCGCGCGAACGGAATAATTTTATATAAAATTAAATATTTAACATTAAATATTTAACATGTTAAATTATTATACTTTTATTACGTGTACATTTACATAATATTGTCAATTATTTATTGCATTAAGAAAATATTAGGCACTAAATCAAACCGACGTTATTAGAGTTTTATCGTGTCGTGTTCTAGCAATATATCGACAATCGATATCCCTCGTGTGACAAAGATAGCATATACTTTTCGTATGAGCACAAGGAAAAACTGATCTCTAAGTTTCCAAGCGTAAAAACGAAATTCTGTTGACACTGTCAGGTCCCAGTTGGTTATATAGCGAAGCATTTTTAGAAGAGGTGGCCTCGTTCCATTAATTTAGCATGCATGAAACGTGCTGATGTTATTTGCGCCCGCCATTAACTAGCACATCCTTCATTTTACTGTATAAGATACTACTAACGACCTCTTTTTCTTCTCAGAATAAGTATAATAATTAAACTTCGTTGATGAATGACGAAACTGTCTCAATACATAATTTTTTGGCAAGAAAATTAAACGTCGACCAAATAGTTTGATTTAATTGTAAATCAATTATATATGATTCTACAGAATATAACACTTTTTTGATCGTCAAAAATTGTTGACTTTTAACCGTCGAAACTTGAAATTATTTATCGCTGACTCGGTCATCATCGCTCGAATCTACACAAATATCTTCCTGAGCATTTCATCTCATCTGAGCCATCGTGTTTCTTTGTCGACATTTAATCGATAGTAATTTCAACCGCAATCGTAACCGCTTGTCGAAAATATACACAATACTGTAATTCCGTCGTAAATCTTCATGATTAAACCCGCACTTACCGCAACAGAGCAATACGTCGATCAAACACTCGCGCGCGCGCGGCGATCTTACTTTCACCTCCGTAGGAGGATCGGGATAATTTTGGTTAAAGTGGGTCTCGCGCGAGAAACGACCGCCATCGGAGTTGGCGGTGTCCCATTAAACGACGATTCCTTCTGTCTTCTCTTCTGACTGTTCGCATCTCTCACCTCTAGTTCGTTCTGCGAGACATCGATATCACCTCCGGAGGAGTGAACAGCGAGGAAACTAAGAACAAACGTGCCGTAATGAAGAAGCTTTGTTGAATTAGAGGCTTTCCTTTCCACAGCCATTTCGTGATCTACTCTTTCTCATTTCTCGCCAGCCGCACCCTCGTTTGCCCACTTGCGTACAATGATTACACGCGTGTGCGTCGGACATTGCGTGCCCTTTCCCTTCGTTGTACGCCTGTGGATCGCAGAGTGTGTGTCGAAATTCCCGTCCCATTTCTTCTTCCTCTCCTCCTGTTCTTCGTCGACCGTATACGTATCTACCGACACATATAATTAACAATTAGTTCCCTTCTCATAAGTCGGGCGTTCCCTTGGCGTGTGTCGTACGTCTCATCGTGAATTGCATTCTCTTCTCGCGGCAAAATCGCGAAAGAGTGACGCTGTGTGAATATTAGCGCAGAAATGTAAGCTAAATAATATCGTTGTACATGTGCAAGTTATATAGAATACAGTGTATTTTTTTTTTTTTTTTTTTTTTGTGTGCGCTTGCTTTTCCAAAAAATGTCACTTTTTCAAAAAAACCTTATTATATTATTTAATTCGCATTTACTTTTGTCACTGCAAAATTATTTGAAAATAATTCACAATTATTGAAATCATTCATTTTTTTATATTTATAACTGCACACACACGACTGTTATTTATCCAGGTTTTTTGTTTTTTTAGGACATGCAAAAAAGTTGGCGTTAAGAGAAAGTTTCGTTTGTAAGCGTAAATAGAGAATAGAAAATAGCTCGTGGCGCTCACGTTCAGGGTGGATGCTTGCAAGCGGAATTCATTTGTCCAACAGTGCCAACCTAAGCGAATCTCACGCGAAAAAGCGAGATACAAGTCGGAAGTGGGAAAATAGTTTTTGAATGAGAATCGGTGGTTTGCGCAATTCGCAGAGAAAGAGAGAAAGAGAGAGAGAGAGAGAGAGAGAGAGAGAGAGCACATTTCTTTCGATTGACGTCGCTGACGACATACCGCACAATTGATGGCAACACACAAAATGGCAAACACTCTTTGCTATCAGAAAAGTGTTATATTGAAAAAGAAGCAAAGGGAGAAAGAGGGAGAAATTCTGTAATATAAGTTAAAATAGAACAGATGCACAAAGATTTCTGTAATTTTCTTATATCACTAGAGTGATATTTTAGAAATTTAATCTGATAAGTAAATAGTATATTAAATATTATAAATATTTAATTTAATGCATAAAGCAATTCGGCTACCAGAGACTATTTCTAGCTGTTAACTCTTCAAATAATTCGTATATAATTCGTTCGAATTTGTTGCCTGAATCCTACAACGAGAGAAATCGTGCTTGAGAGCATTAAAAAAAAAATTGCTTTTTCCGCGCCGTGTCACTAAACGCCTCGCTAATGAGCAAAAAACTCGTAAGAATTTAAGCGAGCTGTTAGATGCGGGAGTAAAGGTGACGTCATTCAATGAGAGAAAAATTAAGAATGTCTTGTAACAATTGGTAAAGTTAAAACTCAATGTGTGTTTGTAACTATTCAAGTAGAATTGTCGTGAAAGAGCGCGAGTTTGAAATCGACCAACAGGGTAAGACGATGGTTTTCGCGTGGGGGATGCGCGAGCAACCACGACGAGAGCTATGCGAGGCGCCCGCGTACAGGCCCGACGCTGGTTCTCGCAGTATCGCGGCGACCCTCGAGCTAAAAGCATCGGCGAAGTCTTACTCTGTCAGTGACGTGTACCGTCGTCCGGAAAAAGAGGAGATTCGCGGTTGGACGAGAGACGCGCCGTGTGAAACGTGAGAAGCACGGCCCTCCCGGCTCTCCGGGGGACCGATCGTGACCAAATTCGTGCGCGACGAAACACGCGCCGCGGAACGCGCGTCATCATCTCCGTTTGTCGTCGTCGCGGCGCCTTCTCGGTCGAAAATCTTCTGAATAAAAATCCGCGAATTTGAAACCGAACGATCGAAGAAATCTCTCGACAAGAACCGTAACTCCTGTGCCATTCGCTTGTTTTTCTCCCGCGCGATTTAATATTCTCGCGACGATGTCTGTGTGACGTACGTGTGAGAGGTGTTTCGCGAGTACTCCTGCTCATTTCGTTGCTCCTTTACGTCAGTTCGGAGTTCGGGAAAAAGCCCGTAGACTGGCAGGGAGGGAGCTAAAAGTGTGACGCATCGTCGCAAAGGTAAAAGACCATTTTGCATATATTCCGAGGTCTTACGTGGTCGATGTCTCGATATTGCAAACGTCGACCCTCGTCATTTGGAGTTTGCGGAATGCATTTCTGAGATGTTGCGAGCTTGTTGAAACCAGCTATTTTATTTAAAGTTAGTTAAGTAATTATTGACGGTAAAATTGCGAGTTTTGCATATGTATTTCGAAAACTTCAAAAAAATTTTTGATTTTATTTGTCACATAAATTAGAACAAAGAGTATATGAAAAAAAAAGATAAAATAAATATTTTTATAATTTGATTAGTTTCATAGAATAATTACTTAAAAAACAACTTCAGTGTCAAGTTGGGAATTGTATTTGTAAAACATATTTACAACATATTTATAAACTATTTTCAAAAACGTGTAAAATATATACCATGTCGTCTACTTTTTCTGAAAAATCTACTGAATAATATCTAATACCGGTGATATATTTTTTTCTATAAGAGAAACAAATATATTATTTGTATTCAAGACTCTGAAATTGTGCACGACGCAGACTTCAGTTGTAACTACACATTGTTGGACTTTAAAAGTTTTTTGTCGCAATATATCCGTCTTAAAAACAACTGTAAAAGTATCTTAGAGAGAAAATGTCGCAATATAATTATTCTAATAACAGCCACAAACACGAAATATACATATCATTATATATAATATGTAATATATTTTTAAGTCTCTCACACACACAGTTTACAAGATAATTTATACTTTTACTAATCCGCACTATAAAAATTAAAATTTCTACTCTTGTAATTTTTGTAAAATTAATTTAGTTTTTAATATTGCAAAATCAAAATCAGAAATTTGTTTTAAAAAATTAAAATATATTGCATTTGAAGTGAAAAATACAAATTAATTACAATTAATAAAATCTGAATATTTACGTATATTCTCGATGTGTTTTGAAATTTGTATTCATGTAATTTATATTACTATTGCATACTCTTTCTATTTCTTTCTCTTCTTCTCTCCTTCTTTTTGGTTCCGGTATAAAAGAGGATATAGTTAAATAAATGGAAAAACAGCGTTCGCGGTAAATAGAGCCGGGTGGAAATGATTTGTGGGAGGAAAGGGTAATTTGTTTTCGGAAACACTTAAGCGAGTGCATTCTCCCTCCACGCGAATAAGCTTAAGTCCTTTGACCGACTACTCACTCAACGTCGAGCTGGTAAACAGGAAGTGGAAAGCGCTTTTTACGGAAAAAGAGTTCCGCGCGCCGGTGCATCGCCAGCAATCACCACTGCGCGTTTCCGTGTCTGACGCGCGCATACCGTTTCTACTTCTCCAGGCTTGCCGATAAAATCCGGCATATACATCTCGTTATATTTCTCAATTATTTAAAGTGTCTGATTGCTGCGGCGATGAAATTATTCATCACTCTCACTACAGAAACTATTGAAACAGAGAGTTTTTATTTAACCTTTAAATATAATATTCTTTTCGAAATATAAAAAAGTGTATTGAATTTTTCATATTGAATTTATTTTATTCCGCGTTATAAAAGCAGATAAAAAAATTAAAATATTAGATCAAAATTGTAACAAGTCTTTATTACACAACTTTGAATAATCTTTTTGCGAGTTGAGATGTGCAAAGTGTGATAAATGTTTGATTTTATTTGATTTATTACTCCGCGCTCATGCTCTCTAATACGTACAAAACAAGGGAGTTTTAATGTGTATATCGGTTTTATGGGGTTCATTAACTCGTAATGACACTTGATACTTTCTCCGACCGCAACGAGAGCTTGGTGTTGTGTAATCCGAGTTACATCCGCGAGTTAAGGTTATTATTACGCAGCAACTATTACGTATTCACGCGATGCACAGCTCAGATTTTGGCGAGGGAGATTCCATTAACCACGGTTTGAAAGCCCGAATCCGAGCTCGCTTCGGTTTCGCACACACAGCAGCGTCTCGGATTCCTCTACGCGTGGCTATTAATTCTCTGAAGTTAATTATCCGAAGCACGTTATGCGCAAACTTAGTTTCTGTTCAGCATGCGATATGTGTTTGCTTATGATCTGATTGACGAAATGACCAATATAAGATTTCTGTTCTTTGATGCAGCTGTGCGTGTTGAATTATGAAGATGGAAGTGAGAATTTTTACACACAGACGAAAACTTTTTCATTTGTAGAATGAACTACGTGCAAATATTTTGATTAAGTTAATTACAAGGTCTGTTTTTCTTGCTCATAAAGATTGAGAAAAATCAACGAGTGATTCAATTTGCGATATTCTTCTTCAAGAAGCAGATTGTCTTGTGGAAGAGAGAGATCTTCGGCTTAATCTATTCCTGATGGACAAAAATTGGCAAGAAAGCTCATTGCAGCTTTCACATTCATGCAAAGCTCTTCCCTACGGGCAAGATTTCCGGGATTTTCATTATTTACGTGCCAACAAGTAATCAGATTTGCGACAACTTGTTGCTTACCGGAAAGCGTGCGGAAAGGCGAAGTTCGAAGACACCGCGACGGACGGAGAAATCGCGCTAACAGCCCGATGAGATGTACAGAGAGAAGAGAAGAGAGAGAGAGAGGAGTATCAGCCCCCTACGGCCATTAAATTAATCAGCCGCTCTCGACTCGGGGAAAACCAACGACAGGCTCCGCAAGGTTTCTCCGAAACTCTCCGTCATCCGCGCTCGTTTGCGCACCCGCAGTCGTCGGTTTTCCCTCGGTCGTCGTTGCTCCTACTTCCGGTGACAATGGCGACGGAACAGGGTCACCGGGCTGAAAAACGAGGAACGTCGACGGCGGAGAACGGATACCGCGGACTCGCGCATGGGAGCCATAACTCGCGCGCGAGTTACTCCGTTGGCCGCGGTAATGAAACATAATGAAATGTAAAGCAAAAAGGTTTTCAGTTACCAACGTTGCTGCTGGCCCGTTGCACAGCGCGGTTAAATAACGTTCCCTGTATCCAGCGCGGCCGCAAGAACGCTCTCTCCCTGCAACACACTACTGCTACTCGGCCTTCTCGCACAAAGTTGTGCGGGTGTGTCTTCAACATATACCGCGCGTGCATTATTTCTAGATAATTCTCGTGGTTGTCTCACGGCAAATCGGTTATACATTCGATATTTTGGCATGTCCGAGTGTTCCACAAATGCGAATGATTGATTGTCAGAGCGAAAAGTAAATACACACATACACGTACTGAAATAGTAAAAAGATAAAAAAAAATACAATATCAAACACATCAATCGATCAGAAAGAAATATATAATTCTAAAGGTTTTTTTACAAGCGTTTGTAATATTACATGGATATCTAGAAATGACACGGCTTTGAGACCTGATCCGTTCAACGTTTGATTGATGCAACTTTATGTGAGGAGGCATTCATAAAGCCAAGTTCTGTACGTTTCTTTTTTCCTGAAGTGCGTTCTTCTTGGTTCGAGCGTCTCTCTCGAGTTCGAGCAAACTATAATTATGAATTTTTACGCAACGCACGTACTGACGCGCGTCGCGAATCGAGGACAGTCTTTCCTGTGAGAAAGATGTTCGTCACATATATTTTCTCGCGCAAAAATAATTGACTTCTCCGGACGGAGGTAAATATCAGAGCGAACGAACGACTTTAACTCAGGTCACTGCTCCATTTCTACGAAATACATCATAAGGAAAGAGAAAAAATAGAGAAAAATACAGCAGATTTTGTCTTGGAACAAAAAAAGACGAAAAAGAATGTATATTTGTTTTTACTTTCAATTTAATTTAACTATTTGTACATTGTTAAATGAGAAAAGAGAGACTTTACTAATTAATGTAACAAAATAAAGATAATTTGCATTTTCAATTCTATATAGTTAAGTATCGATTTATAATGATGAAATATAATTCAACAATTGAAGCGCAGTATTTTATAAGTTTAAAAGAGAAAAAAATATCTTTGATGAAAAATTGAATACGAATTAGGAAAAAAATTGCGATTCTTATAACGTTTTGGAAAACAGTTCGCAGAAAGAGCGGAAAACTTTTTCGTATGTAATCGCGCGCGGCAAGTAGTAAAAACTATTTATACAACGGCAAGACAGCGGATAATACCGGGTGAATTGAATCCGCGTCCCGCTCGGATTCGGTTTCTTACAACCGCCGCTGCGTCGTCGTGATCAATACCGAATCTCACGGAAACATCGAAGTTTCCTTGCTGCTATCGTATAGTTACCTCCTCGCTGAGCCGGTCCGGAGAAGAAGAGAGAGAGAGAAAGAAATGTTCGATGGTGGGATTCGAAGTTGCGTTGAACTTTCTCGCGGGAGGGATATAAATATTTTCCGTGTGCTTTTCATTAACTGTCCGTTTACATTTTAGCCTCTCGTCAGAAAGGCTAGCGGCAAGATACGGAGAAGAGAACGCTCATCCTCCGACAAACTAAAACTTGAGTTTACGGAAAACTGCTCCGAGTTGCCGCCCCAAATAATTAACATCTTCGGCTATGTAGCTCTAACTACTTGAGAAAGAGAAAAAACCTGCAATCCATAAAAAAACTACGAATAAATAAAAATTATATATATAAAGTTTACAGGAAATATATATATATATATATATATTCTGATAAATATTAAGTAGCGTGTGACATTCTGCCGATTTTAAAATCCGTTCGCTTGCTGGAACGATTCCAGAAGCGAGATTTTTCTTGGAGTCGAGATCGAGAGAGAGAGAGAGAGAGAGAGAGAGAGAGAGAGAGAGGGAAAGAGAGAGAGAGAAAAGGGGAGAGGGTCAGCCCGGAAAAACGGGTCGAATGTGTCACCGCCGTGAAATTTCGACGACTTGCGACACGACGAGTGGTTGGCGGCGGCCGATCGGAAGCGATTCGGATGCGATTTGAATTTTGAGTGCGCTCGCGCGCATCTGCATATGTAAACACGAGGCACGCCGCGTTCGCTCGCCCGTGAGGAGATACGATCGACGCGTCCGTGCAATGCGATTGTGCCGCCGTTTGTTCGCATAATCATTCGAGGGAGAGAGAAAAAACAGCCAGCTGATTCCGACCTTCGATTGGTAGATTACCGAGTTTTTAAAGCGCCGCGAAATTTATGCGGTTGTCGCGAGGAGCAACGCTACGTGCTTTCCTGCTTTGTTTTTTCAACTGTCCGTTGCGTTGAAATAATAATTGCGAAATGTCTTCTTTTTTTCTTCTTTCATCTTCCTTCGAATAAAATGAATGTTTAAGAAAAAAATCGACACGGTTTTTTTTACGTGACACGCAACGAACTGGTAGTTGTCTTTTATGCGACACTTTATCCGCCCGCGCGGTAATATCGCGTTATCCTTTTGATTGCGTTCATGTAAAGAACCCCGGGATCCCCGCTGAGCCTGAGATTCCTCTCACTGGGCCCTGAATTATTCAGGTAGTCACGCACCGTCGTTGTTGTCTACTCTCTCTCTCTCTCGCCGACGCGCTCGCAGATCAATCTTGTTTACCGCGAAAACCGGGTTTCCACATCGCGACGTTACTTAACAATACAATTCGCAAGCAGTGCATCGTCGTCTTGAATTATTGTCTGTGTCTCGCTCATTGTACGCGGCTCCGGTATCACATGTATTCCGTCATTAGTCATCGTAATCGAGTTCGAATCCCGCGGGAGTTCGCTTTGAATTTCCGTGATGGATTCTTCAATGAATTCGGAATCGACTTCTCGGCGGGGAAAGTTTGAGAAAGTAATAAAGTCTTCAGATTTCTCACAAAGTAAAAGAGATCTTACACTGCAGATTAAGTTGAAAATTTGATTTGCAAAACTCGTATAAATAAAAATTTAATCAATCTCGCGTTTTTGTTTTACTTGAAACAACGGGAGATTTAATTATTTAAGGCATTCTGTTTCTTAGAGAATCAAATTAATTAAGCAACTAAATGAAAATAAGCAAAGCTTCATTCGTTTCATTCTGATTCTACGATCGCACAACGTATTAAGACGTAATAAATAAATTACTTCACGCGCTAATTAGTTCCGACGTTAAAAACAAGTTTTTTTTGTCAACGCAACGGGTCACATGTCTTGAGACATGATGAATTGTTACCGCACTTTATTCCATTTTAGTCCATCCTCCGATAAAACATAAGCTTCATATTTTCCCGGATGGTATCGTGTGGTAGTAACGGCGAGGAATTACAGCCGGAAGTAGCTCGCGTTTGTAGGTCGTTTTGCAACTTTATCTTTCCCTGACGTTTCCTTACACGAAACACTTTAGAAGTTTCGTGTTTCTCCTCGTGTTTTTCCTGGCGCGCGCTTGCTGGCTGGTAGAAAACTGTTGACTATAACGCGTGCTTCGAATTCTTTCTTGCCCAGGTCTCTCGTTGCGCGAGTGTGTCGCAACGTATGCAGCGTTAAACGCGTATCTCGTGTAATATCGCGCACATTCTTGAGAAAATAACAATAACTAGCTCGCACGTGTGTTGCAGACAACAGTTTTATTTACTTATGGTTAACTTTTGTATATGTGTTTCTTTATATTCCATAGATGTCTCGTGACACGTGGCACCGGTGGTCGGTGCTGCTGCTATTTCTGCTGGTCACGCGATTTCTCTCCGTTCACGGCCAATGCGGATCGTACGCCCAAGATCGACAAGAAAAGCAGGATAAGCAGGACAAGCTGGCGCTCTACAAAGTCACCCTGAGGACCTATTGGTCGAGGGCGCGATTCCCGCGACATTATCCAGAGTGGAAGCCACCGGCGCAGTTCGGCAAACTGATCGGTGAGCACAGCATGTGTCAGTATGTCCTATAAAAAGAAAAGAAAAAAAAAAACAAGAAAAAACGGCGATTTGAACTCTTCGCGCTTCGTGAAAAATTCAACAATCAGTTCCGACAAATCTTCGACGAAGTATAGTATGTTCAAGAAGAAATCTTAAATAAATTCACGCAAAGAGAACCACCAAGTCGCTATATTAAAAAGCTACGGTTTTCAAAAGCAATTCGTAATGTAATATCCCATTAGCGATGCATTTGCGCTCGACTCGCGTTTCGAGTGAAAATTGAAATGCAAAATGGTACACGTCGAAAACATCCACTGCGCCCTTTTACGTACGTATCGAATGCGATTTTAATCAAACGCGGCGTCATGAAAATTAGATTAAATCGTTTCCCACCAGCGAGATCCCGAATCTCTCGTACAACGGCGGGAAAGCAATAAAAGAGCTGAGATCCGCTGAATTCTTCTAATTATTTGCGCGATCCACGAATAACGCGATCAACCTTAATGAGATATCTCGACGATTGATCGATCACAGACTCCGGCGAGCACTGCGATGCAGTTTTTTTTTTATGTGACTATTATATTGTACGCGTCCGAGTTGTAAGATATATAATATTTATATCTCTTTATATTACTGTTAAATTATTACTTCATTACTGTCTCGTGCTTTTTCAAGCTTCATCCGCGACCTGGAAAAATACATTGACGCGAAATCGAAAGCATCAACGGCAGAAAGTTATTTGCGCGAGAAGATCGTAATCCTCTTCTCAAGCAGTACCTCTATTTTTTGAAAAAAAAAAAAAAAAAAAAAAATTAATTGGAAACTTTCCAGAAACAAGATAAGAATTATTTTCATCGAAATCACCCTTCCTCTTGTCGTGCTGTGCGAGTTACGCCGGTTTGAGCAACGTCAGCTAGAGCTCTTCGAGTTTATTCTCTTCGACCTCCTTTCGCCGCTGAGTAGCGCGAGGGTGGCAGAGGATGAAACGATAATTGGAGAAGTTGGGAATTATCGTATGATGCCGCTGGCAACTCGCAGCCGTCTGCGCGCCACCGCTGCCTGACGCGAATCTGAAATGTCTTTGCGCGTGAAAGCAGATACCTCGAAGTGGCACAGGGTGTGTATATACGAGGTGTCTCGGAGTGTCATCTTTCATTCTTGTGACACTTGTGTGTCGTTTCACTTTCGACAATCTCGTCTACTTAAAATTGACGATCGATCGAATTCGCGAATGTTTTATAGATCATTTGTTTTCGCAACGAGATTCTCAATCATCGCAACTTGCTCTAGCCGAGATCTTGACGAGATCTGATTGGGTGAGACACTCGGTATACATCCGAACAGGTGTCGTAAGTCTTCGTCGGTCCATAAATCCCTCTCGCAACCTCTCTCGCCGCCATTCCGGTCTCCATAGTTTCGCGCTTTCGGTCGGCGTCTGTGGTCGCGACCCTTCGTGGCCGCGCCTTCTCTCTCACCCTTCCCCTGGCGTTTCCATTTCTTCCGTCGCAAAGTCGAATAAATCCCGCCGGTAGACCTGATCCGGGCGTTTTGCCGAATGTACAGACGCACTCCCCGCGAGAAACCTCAAATTCGAATTAGAAAGCCGCGCTCGCTTTCCGCTGAAATTCAATTTCCAGGCTCCGGCGGACTCTGGAGAAACCGCGGTCGGCGGCGGTCAACGATATGAAGAGAATCCGGAGATTCCCCGCGCGTCTCGACTTTCCGTCGAGCTTCGTTTTCGTGTATAGCAGAAATAATCCGCGAACCTACCAGAATATCTTCAAATCTGATTTAAAATTAATGACGATTTTTTTCACAAAGTTTTACATACATACGTTTGATTGTCGTTTTTTAATGGATAGCACATCGAACTATTTGGAAATTCATCTTCGGATCGCGCCTGAAACCCGTTAGAGAGTTTATAGCTACATTACGATCCGGAGTGTATTTCGCAGGAATGCAATTTCGCTCACAGTCCCAGGCGAGAAGAGGCGTAATACGAGAAATCGGGAAAATACGTAGCGCGGCTTTCTCCGGAAAGAGAGACTCGGAAACGATGGTTAAATAAAGCGTCCGGAGGAAAGGGATGGGCGAGAGGTGAGAGTTTTTTTCGCGCGATACCAAAGGGGAAGCCCCGCGCGAAGTGGGCTCGAAAGCGAACAGAGCGGAACAAAAGCAGCGACAAAACGTAATCGAAAATCCTTTACGCCGTTCTCATGGAGAAATTGCGGAAAGAACGAGGCGTGACGGGGGCGGGAGAAAACGAGGGGGACAGGTTTTCTCCTGCATTCCGCGGGTCCTCCCACGGAAGACCTCTCTCTCCGTAGAGATCCCTGCGTGCACACGGCCCGACGAACACGTTCGATCGTTAACGGCCGACTAATGGAATGGAATTCGCATCCCTCGATCCTCTTGTACGTATATACATCCCCTCGGTCTCGCTCTCTTCCGCCATTCCTTCAACCGCGCCGGACCGAATCGTAAAATTGTTGCCGCGCTCTTCGCCATTGTTTTCCTTTCATGGCTTCAGATATGGCGGATTTAATTCGATCTATTTTCCGTCTTCCGCTCCTTGTTCGCGGCCTGTATTTTCTCTCCAAAGAATCGATCACCGCTCTTTTTATCTCCGTTCTTGAACTTCGGATTTAAGCCTGTTTTCTTAAGCTTGATCGAGTCTCGAGAGATACATATGTGTGTATATGTATGTATATATATGTATGTATACTCGACATATTTTTTATACATTTTGTAAAACACAAAATAAACCGCTCAGGAAAAAATAATATTTTTGTTTTGTTTTAACTTCTAAAACATAAAGAGTCAAGATGTATAAAGCAACTGTGCAACCATAACTGAGAACCGGAGGGGTAAGAAATAAATACTCATTTTGCTCAGTTACGGGCTCGCAACTTGTTCATACCCACGTATTCGCGAGGAACAAAGGGAACGCTCTGTTACTGAGCGCGTATCCGCAAAGTAAACACGATAATAAAAGCGTCGCTAATGCATGGTAGACGCTACGCTAATGACGAACAAATATCTTTTTCAGGGGTAGAACGAATTACATCAGATAACAAGAGAAATCTTATCAACGTTCTTTGTACTACGCAACGCGCGTAGGAATATAAAATATATTTTCTGATACGCAAAACTATCTCGCGCGCGATATTTTAATTTATAAATATTCCGTATTAAGCATCGCAAATTTAATTTTGTATTTGAAAACAATATTCAGGTCGAGAAAGGGAGAAACACATATTTAAAACGAAAAAACATATCGATGATTCGCTACAATATATTCTCCTGTCAAAACTTTTAAATAGTTTTGTTTTCAACGCGCACCGATGCAAGCAGCTTTTTTACACGTGGAATTGAAATATCCTCTAAAAGATACGAAATAATGTCACGATACTTGAAACGTTCCAATTAAATCGTGAAGTAAATTTTATTCTTCAAACTATTAATGCTCGGACCGATCACCAAAAATATCGGAATGAAAAATCTATGTTAGTAATCTTTTGCAATAACATTCTTTTCGTATATTTTTTTTTACATTACCGGACACACACACACATATAAACCGAGCTTGTTTTTATAAAATATATGAAATTTCGCTACACGTCGTCAACGTATCAATGCGTAATCGTTCTACCATGAATGGAATTATTTCTTCAACAAAAAGCATCGATCGATATATTCAGATTTTTATTTCGTACGCGAGCAATACGTGCTATTAGTACGGCAATATGTTTTCCATAATACGTTTTTTTCGCCGCGCGTTTACTCACCGGCACGATGATACACATCAAAAGTTCGGGTTATTCGAGACGGAGAGGGTCGTCCCAAAGCCAAAAAGCACTCTGACGAGTGCGAAAGTTTGCCTATTCCCGTATGCTAATGGATATCCCACCCTCGCAACGGCGAAAAGAATGATTTCCCTCACCGACAGCTTCGAAGGACTGATGAGGAAGGGCGAGATAAACATTGTTTAAGATATTGCGTATAATATTTTGCAGACGTGCATCGAAGTGTGTAAGTACGTTAAAGTTGCGATACTCAATCCATCTCTGAAATCCTCGGTAGAGTCTTTTGGGACGTTCGACGATCCTCTCTCTCTCTCTCATAGCGTGAATCATCACATCCAGCGCCATTATAGAGCAGCCTAAAAATATCCCTCCGGTGAACGCCAGGCTTGCTACATAAAGCGAGTACGCTAGGATAGAGTCCCCAATGACAGATACTTTTGATAAACAACTACATAAATATCATCAATAAATCGTCATTTGTATGGAGAAGAAAGCATACAATGAAAATTAAAATGAAATAAACATTATTATTATAAAAATGAAAAATAAAATAAAGAGAAGAGCTATTAACAAATAAATTTTTACAATATTAATAAACTTTTACAAAATTTTACAATATCAATGTTACGTATTTACAATATCAATAAATTTTTTTACAATACATTATTATATATGTAATTGAATAATTACACATCTGGGAAAATACGAAAAAACACCGCAAGTACCTACTTGACTCTCTTTCTCTCCCTGTCTACACGAAAAAGTAAGTCAATTCATTACATCTATAGAGCATATATTGTATATANAAAANAAAAAAAAAAAAAAAAAAAAAAACGAAAGATTTATCAATCACGGTGATTGATGACGGATTATGAGCCTTAAGTTTCCCTACTCCATTGACTATCGAAAAAAGAAGAGAAGCTTCTTGACACTTCTTGAACCGGCTCGTGCGAGGCTCCACGGAGATCCGATCGAAAAGGCGCGCAAGAGATATGATATATGTCCAATATAACTTTGTACGCGCGACGTACACAATACACGTAGATTTCTCGGCAAGTTCCGCACCGTTGTCGTTTTAGACATCGTCGACAGAATATCTTGGAACTTCGCCGGAGCGAAGACTTCGCGAGACATAGAGAACGAGGCTACATACGCCTCGCGTGCGCGAGGTTAAAGTAGGGGATAAAGTTGCCG